AGAGAGAGAGAGAGAGAGAGAGAGAGAGAGAGAGAAACATAACACTAAAGGATAAGCACCTGACTACAACCACAGAGTTGATAGTTCATAGCTACTAGCCGCTCCTCGGAAAACCTATACAGGGTTGCTATGAGTCAGAACTGACTCGACAGCACTTAACAACAACAATATATACGTATTATAGCTATATTGTTCTTGATACATGCTATCGAGTCAGTACCTTATGCACAAAAGAATGAAGCACTGCCTGGTCCTGTGCCAACCTCACAATTGTTGTTACACTTGAGCCCATTGCTGCTGCCACTGTGCCAATCCATCTTGTTGGGGTTCTTCCTCCTTTTCACTGACCCTCCACTTTACCAAGCATGATGTCCTTCCCTGGGGACTGGTCCCTCCTGATAACATGTCCAAAATATGAGAGACGAAGTCTGGCCATCCTGACTTCTAAGGAGCATTCTGGCTGTACTTCTTCCAAAACAGATTTGTTTGTTCTTTTGGCAGTCCATGGTACTCTTAATATTCTCCTCAAACACCATAACTCAAATGCATCAATTCTTCTATGGTCTTCATTATTCATTGTCCAATTTTCACAAGTTTATGAGGTTATTGAAAATAGTATGCCTTGGGTCAAGTGCACTTTAATCCTCAAACTGACATCTTTGCTCTTGAACACTTTAAAGAGGTCTTGTGCAACAGATTTGCCCAATGCAATACATCATTTGATTTCTTGACTGCTGCTTCCTTAACTGTTGATGGTTGCTCTGAGTAAAATAAAGTTTTTGACAACTTCCATCTTTTCTCCATTTATTTTGATGTTATTTATTTGTCCGATGGTGAGGATTTTTGTTTTCTTTACATTGAGATGCAATCCATACCCAAAACTGTGGCTTTGATCTTCATCAGTAAGTATTTTAGGTCCTCTTCACTTTCAACAAGCAAGATTGTATTATCTGCATATCGTAGGTTGTTAAGAAATCTTCTCCAATTCTGATGCCATGTTCTTCTTCATATAATCTAGCTTCTCTGATTAGTTGCTCAGCATACAGACTGAATAAGTATGGTGAAAGAATATGACCCTGGCGCAAACCGTTCCTAATTTAAAACCATTCAGTGTTCCCTTGTTCTGTTTGAACAACTGCCTCTTAGTTTATGTACAAGTTCCTCATGATTACAATTAAGTATTCTGGAATATTCATTCTCGTCACTGTTGTCCATAACTTATCATGAACCACACAACTGGAAGTCTACATAGTCAATAAAACACAGGTAAACATCATTCTGGTATTCTCTGCTTTCAGCCCAAATCCATCCGACATCAGCAATGACATCTCTCATTCCACGTCCTCTTCTGAAACCCACCTGAATCTGTGGCAGTTCCCTAGCAATGTACTGCTGCAGCCAATTTTGAATTATCTTTAGCGAAATTCTACTTGCATGAGATTTTAATGATATTGTCTGATGATTTCTGCATTCTGTTGGATCATCTTTCTTTGGAATGAGAACAAATATGGATCTCTTCCAATCAGTTGTTCAGGTAGTTGTCTTCCAAATTTCTTGGCATAGATGAGTGAGTGCCTCCAGTGCCACATCAGTTTGTTGAAAGATTTCAATTTGTATTCCATCAATTCCCAGAGCTTCTTCTTTGCCCATACCTCAGTGCTCCGTGGACTCTTGATCATATGCTACCTCTTGAAATGGTTGAACATCGACCATTTCTTTTTGGTACAGTGACTTTGAATATTCCTTCCATCTTCTTTTGATGCTTTCTGTATCATTCAATATTTTGCCCAGAGAATCCTTTAATATTGCAAGTCAAGTCTTGGATTCTTTTGGTTTTCTTTCAGTTCTTTCACCTTGAGAAATGCTGAGTGTGTTCTTTCCTCTTGATTTTCTAACTCCAGATCTGTGCACATTTCATTATAATATTTGACTCTGTCTTCTCAAGCTGCTCTTTGAAATTTTCTCTTTAGATCTCTTAGCTCCTCATTTCTTCCATTTGCTCTAGCATCTCTGCACTGGAGAGCAAGTTTCAAGAGTCTCTTCTGACATCCATTTTGTTTTTTCTTCTTTCGTGTCTTCTTAATGACCTTTTGCCTTCTTCCTGTATGATATTCTTGATGTCATCTGACAACTCTTCTGATCTTCAGTCATTAGTGTCTAATTCATCAAATCTGTTCTTCAGATGATTTCTAAATTTAGGTGGAATATGATCAA